TTCTCATAATCCAAATCCTGAACAAACCCAACCAGAACATGCCAAAGTTCTGTCTGATATTGATTCATTTGACCAAGACTTTTCAGCTCCCGTACCATAAAATCCAAATTCTCAACTCCCTGAAAATCCAAACTCTGATAACACACCAGAAATTCCGCAACCTCACTCTCCACAACAAGAAATTCCTCATCCACAATCACCTCGACCAGAAATTTCTCAACTAGAAATTTCACAACCACAATCACCTCAACCTGAAATACAACAACCAGAAGCTCAACCTTCTGAGAATAAATCTTCTGATATCCATAAACCAGAACCTCACCATGTTTCAACAAACCAATCTGAAGAACCTCATTCAGATTCTGATACAATCCCAATACCTGGAATCACAGAACCACTTGCTATTCGCATGCTTCTCACCATCCACGACATTCCAGAAATTCCTTCATCTCTGGAATCCACACCACCAAACTCCCCTACCAGTCTAATCATCATACCCGACTCTCCCACTCCTTCACCCACTAACAGTCCAGCTGACAACGTAAGACTTGTCATTGATCCAATTGTGCTGGAAAGACTAGCTTGTATCTCTCACAAAACTGCCATTCCCAAACCTAAACCAACTGAAACCACATCAGATGTTGGTACAAGTTTGTTGATTTTTGAAACAAGAATACAGGAATGGATAAATTTTTTGAAGCATGCTAGTCAAGAGATGACTAATCCTGCTGCTTCTGATTATATGTAGACAAAATTCAGAAACTGGCTTAGTTCTGAAATGCTGAAGCTGAAGGAACAGAGTTATGAACATGTTCAGCAGAACTTTAGTGCTAAGCTGAAGGCTTTTCAAGACCAAGTTCTGAGCCAACTGCTGAAGAAAGATATCCTCTCTCTGGATAATGCTCCCTGGATAGAGCATCATCCCTCAGATGAATTTCAACCAGAATAAGAAAGTCTCTGCCTGACTGCTGCTCCAGAAGAGATGATCACAGCAGAAGAAATGGTTCACTCTGAACAAGCTGCAGAATGCTCTGAGCAATGTCCAACTCCTGAAGAAACTCCAGCACCTTCCTTAGTCATGCAAACTCTGGAAGAGTTGAAGAAAGAAAATGCTCTAATCCATGCAAGGTTGGATAAGCAGGAGGACACGAACAAAGAGATTAAAAGCATTTTGGGCAAGGAAGAAGAGTCTAATACTCAGATCAAGAGCTTGCTGGAAGATTTGTTCACACGTCTTCCCCCTCCTTCTTAGATTTTTGTTTTAAATCTGTTTATTTGTAACGCTTAATTTTTACCTCTTCTGTTCTGGAACTTATCATTGCATCATGTTTTTTTAATATAATTCAACTATTTTGACTCTGATTATATTGCCTTTTTGATAACTGACAAAAAGGGGGAGAAAGTAAGATATTTTCAATAATGGTTTACCGGGACAGAAGTCTCAAACATTCTGAATTAATTAACCTCTATCTTCTGAAAAGTTTGAACAGGTACAAATTCTGATGAAATATGCAACTAAACTCTGATGCTCAAGGAACTTAAGGGAAGTAATCAACTCAGGGGGAGTTTCTCTTAAACCTTTTTTTCTTTATTTTTAATTGAAAAATCTAGTTTTTGTCATCATCAAAAAGGGGGAGATTGTTAGAACATAGTTTGATTCTACGATCCTTAGTTAAAGTTTTGATGATAACAAATACAAAGAACTAATGACAAACACAAAGAACAAATATGCACCCTAAAAATTATGTTTTATGTATGCAAAAGTTCTGACCAAAGCAGCATCAGAAGATAAGCCATAAGAGCTACACGCTGAAGCAATCAAAACATGCGCTGAAGATTGATGACCAGAACCTGCGCTTAAGCAAAGTAAACTCTGATTCTGAAAAAGAACATGTTAATCCAAGTCATCAATATTCTGAAGCGTCATCAGCAAGTAAGGAGATAAGATTCTGAAGCGTTACTGATCATTCAAGACAACATCAATTCCAACGGCTTCTTTCAGACAGGATCTTCTCTAAATGGAAAGTGTGTTAATGACATTAAACATGCATGATGATCAACGTTATTCCACTGCCTATATAAACAAAGTCAGCATTCAAAATCAATGACGATTTTGCTACATAACCACTCACACATATTCAAAGCTGGAAGCAATATTCTTTACATTTCCAAGCTATAATCTTGTGTAAATTATCACAGTTGTGATAAACAATTTTTGTAAGAAAAACAACAACACACATCTTGTATAATAGTTTTAAAACAGTGTTCCTTGAGATTAACCGGATTGTGGTTGTAATCAAGAAGACTTTAACAGTTGTTAAAGTAGTGATTGTAATCCTTTTGATATTAGTGGATTAAGACCTCGTTGGAGAGAGGCGAAATCACCTTGACGGGTGGACTGGAGTAGTTTGAGATCAAACGAACCAGGATAAAAATACTGTGTCATTGAGCTTTTAATTTCAAGTTTTCAATTCAACCCCCCCTTCTTGTGTTTTTCACATCTTCAGATAAAACTTTGTTTATTAAGAAAATCAAAAGTCATACTTTATTGGTTCAAGTCTATGTTGATGACATCATATTCGGTTCAACAGACAAAGATCTTTGTGAAGAATTTTCATTGATGATGCAATGAGAATTTGAGATGTCTATGATGGGTAAGATGAATTACTTTCTTGGACTAAAAATTAAGTAATTAAAGAATGGCATCTTTATCAACCAATCCAAGTATTGCAAAGAGTTGTTGAAAAGATTTGATATGGACAATTGCAAAGAAATGGCTACTTCAATGTGCTCCGTAACATATGTAGATCAAGATGAATCTGGTGTTTCAATTGATATTACAAATTATCGAGGTATGATTGGTTCATTATTATATTTGACGGCAAGTCATCCTAACATTATGTTTAGTGTTTGTCTTTGTGCTTGATTTCAAGAGTATCCAAAGGAATCTCATCTTGCCTACGTGAAGCGAATCATGAAGTATCTTAAAGGGACAACAAACATCGATCTATGGTATCCTAAAGATTGTGTGTGATTTACTTGGTTATTTTGACTCAGATTATGCATGCTGTAAAACTGACCAGAAAAGCATCAGTTATACATGTCATATTCTTGGAAACATTCTTGTATCATGGTCCTGCAAAAAGCAAGCATGGGTGGTTCTCGATACAACTGAAGTAGAGTACATTGCAACAGGGAGTTATTGTGCACAAATCCTTTGGTTAAGGCAACAACTTAGCGACTACAGTTTAAATCTTGATGCATTTCGTTGAAATGTGACAACACTAGTACTATAAACATAACAAAAAAATCCAGTCATGCACTCAAAAACCAAACACATAGAAATTCGACATCACTTTCTCTGTAATCATGTTCTTAAAGGGTGATGTTGAAGTAACATTCATTAGCAGACATTTTCACAAAACTGCTCGTAAAGGAACCATTCTCCAATATTCAAAGAGAATTAGGCATATTGGATGAGCATGATGTATGGTGATGCTTCAAAGACCTATCTACATTCATACTTTAAAGACCATCACTCAATTTCATCAATTAAGGTACATGCTAACATACTTCATGCTTTTTTGTTGATTCACAATTCCATCTGTTAATCCTCCCTTGTAGTATGTTTTTTTATTGTATTATAAGTTTTTATGGTATATATACATGTCCTTTATGTGTTACATATCTTCATGATTTGCTATCAAGCCTCTGTTTTAAGCAATTTTTCAAATTTTACTGCATGTAACTAGTTAATAAAAGGTGTAACCAATTACACCTGTCAAATTTTGAATTATTTTTGAATTTTGTTGTTTAGAGCATGGAGAAAATCGGTTAACCAAAAGGCGTAACCGGTTACACAACTCAATGCAAAAAAAAAAGTTATTTTCAAAACAATTTTTATTAGCTTTTAGTGACTTTTTATGTCTTAGTCAAATCTTTCTCCACTCACTTATCTTGGTAAAGACCAATCCATCAATACCCATTCATCACTCAACAACTACCAATATAATCCATTAATTACCCACTCACCAAATCCCTCTATGAATCATTTTCACTTCTTAAAACAAACCCACAACCTTCCAAAGAGCTTAATTCTGAAAATCATTTCTTCACTCACAAAACCCCTTAAATTTTCATCCTTCCAAGATCCTTCAATGGCTCTCACCAAAAAAGAAAGAGGCAAGGCAAAAATTGGTGAAGGTGCTTCTAACTAAACTCTAGATGGTGACTTGGAAATAGTGGAACCAACACTCAAAGAGAGGATATTTCTCTTCAACTTCAGAAATCATCCTCTAACTCCTCCAAAGTATGGTAATCTTGCTTCCTTTCCATCTCCAAGCTTTAATTTTCTAGATTTGTTCCATTTTCTAGAAATAAGTGATTTTATTGGTGATTTTGGACCTGTCTACCTTGACTTAGTTAAGGATTTTATGCAAATCTGTCTATTGGGAATGGGTGTATTGTTTCTTCACTTGTGAAAGGGAAAGAAATCATGTTGACTATGGAAGAATTTGATTCATTCTTGGGTTTTCCAGCTAAGGGTGAGGGCATCCGTTCAAGATATACGTGTGGTTGGCTAGGATATGAGAAGATGCAGTACTATTTCAGCATAAGTCGTTTAACATAACAGGAAATCTTCAGCAAGAAACCTTCTACATTGAACCGACGTATATCCTTTACTCTTCAAATTTGTCTGTTAGTGATCATATGTTGCATTATTTTATTTCTTACATACTGATGCCTAAACACTCTAACCATTATTAGATTAGTGACACTGAAATTATAGTCCTCTATGATATGAAGAATCATATCAAGCTCCATTGGGCTTATGTGGTCATGTTTCTCATGCTACGTCAAAGAGGGTTAACCGGTTGACTCCAGTGTGTAGATTGGTTACCAAAATTCTGGAATACTGTGGTATTAGTTTGAAAAGAGAACCAAAGAAATAGATTACCTGAAAGGTGTATGAAATTAATGTTAAAGCGGCCAACAAGAATATGTGTATTTTCAAGGATACGGATGGTATTTACAAGCATCTAGATCAAGTCACTTCTTCTTCATCCGAGGTTTCAGTTCCCGAAGGTGGTTATACAAACGAGCTCCTCTACATCAAAATGTACTCTCTTAAGAACCTCGTGACTACTGATTTCCAAAACCTCCACCTAGAACTCCTAGCTGAAATTAGGAAGCAAAGCCAAGTCTAATTGGAAGAGAGTGAGGAAGAAGAAATGGAGGAGGATAGTGACTAAAGACATTTTATGTTTCTTGTGACTTTTTTTGTTGATTTTATTTCATGTTGTTATGTTGTATCGTTTTTAATTCCTGTATCGTTTAATTATGTTTAGGACTATGTTATTTTCAATTTCATTGTTATTTCATGTTTAGAAAATGTTCTAGTAATGCTATAAAGCTTTTATTATAATTATATTGTTGTTGTGTTGAGAAATGTTTCTCTTTCCAAGCTAATGTTTTTATGTATGTTTATTACTTCTTTTTTCCGTCCTTTTTGCTATTGATAAAGGGGGAGAAGAGGCATGTATTTGTGTATGCTTTGTATCTAACTTTTGCAGCAACGAAAGTGTCTAATCTGTCCAAACTGTCTATGAATCTATAAAGAGCATTGATCAAGGGAGAGTTATCGAAGTTACGGGGAGCATTCATATAAGAGCATCTCAAGTAATCCAAGAGACTCAAACACTTCAACTTTCAATGGTTGACATCATAAAAAAGGGGAGAGTGTGAAGTCCAGCTTCTCCAATACCATGTTTTGACGAAGACAACTACCATGTGTATGTATCAAGAAAGGATGAGCAAAATAATCATGAAAAAAGAGTTATGGATCAAGATTTGTCGAATAAGAAACTTCATCAAGATAAACTTTGGATCTTTGATCTTCATTTACTAGGTGCAAGTTTCAATTCAAGTTATGATATACATTTTGTGCTAAAAAATTTCTTAAAAAATTCATACATATGCTTCACCACTTTTGAATTACCATGGCATTGCACTGAATCAATTTCCATAAGTATTTTTCATGTCATAATAGTGGTAGCTGGTTACACATTTGTGTTAATCAGTCAGTTACATGAACCCAAAAACGTTTTCAGTGGCATTCTTGAACAGGTGCAACCGGATACACCTTTGGGTTAATCGGTTACACACGGAAAAATTTTAATTTTCAAGGCTGCGCTTCAGCGGTAACCAGTTATGATGATCTGTTAACCGGTTATCACTGAAGCAGTGACACTTTTCCATGAAAATTATGATTCTAACGTATTTTATTTTTGTACCATCAAACATTGCATTTATTGATCAATTTACACTCTTTCAAAATGGTAAGATACTCATATAAATATTGCATGTTTCAGATTTCAAAAATTCACCTCTTTAGGTACAATTCAAATTCATTATTTCTTTCATTTTCAAAACAAGTTCATTGTGTCTTAAACTTTGATTGAAACTTGCTGCATACATTGTCATTACATTCCAGAAAGTTTCAGCATCATAATCTTTGAGCACTTATATACCATGTTAAAATACGAGAGACTGAGAGACATTTGAGTAAACTGTGTTTTGAAAAGCACTACGAAGACTTTATTATATATAGAGAAATTACAGCTACTTACATGATATAGTCAATCTGGGAGTATTCTGTATACAAATATTCTTAACACTATATATTTACAAATATCAACACTTCCCCTCAAGCTGGAGCATATAAGTCAAATGCACCAAGCTTGCCACATATATAATTTGTTATGGTACTTCGCATGGATTTCGTAAACACATATGTCAATTGATCATTAGAGTTGACAAAGCTTGTAATGATGTCGCCAGATTCAATCTTCTCTCTGATAAAGTGACATTTTATCTCAATATGTTTGGTCATCTTATGGAAGACTGGATTTGAAGCAATGTGCAATGCAGCTTGATTATCATAGACAAGTGTCATTGGTCTTACTTCTTCAATTTGAAGTTATTTGAGCAACTGTTTTAACTAAATGAATTCACATGTTGCCATTGCCATGGCCCTATACTCTACCTCGACACTTGATCTTGCAACTACATTTTGTTTTTTAATTTTCCAAAATATAAGGTTTCCTCCAACAAGTACACAATACCATGAGGTGGATCGTCTATCAATGGGTGACCCTGCCCAATCAGCATCAGAGTATCCAACTATCTGAGTATGTACTTTATCTTCATACACTAAACATTTTCCTGGAGCATATTTGATGTATCTCAGAATCCGGATAACAACATCCATGTGTTCTTCACTTAGGGAATTTAAAAACAGACTTATCACACTGACTGCAAAATAAATTTTTAGACGAGTGACTGTGAGATAAGTTAATTTTCCAACCAATCTCCTATACCTTCCTGAGTCTGATAAAGGCTCCCCCTGATTGGGTAGTAGTTTAAAACATTTGGATCCATATGAGTATTAGCTGGTTTAGCTTTCAACAAACCTGTTTCTTCCAAAATATCCATAGCATATTTCCACTGAGAAATCACTAAACTATCTTTAGATTAGGCTACCTCAATACCCAAGAAGTAGCAGAGTTTACCGAGATCTTTTTTCTGAAATTGATTCGAGAGATGCTGTTTCAACTAGAGTATTCCCTGTTGATCACTACTAGTTATGACAATATCATCTACATACACAATAAGATAAATACACCCTTGAGCTGAGTGACGATAAAAGACAGAATGCTCAGCTTCACTACGGACCATACCAAATCGTTGTACTACAACGCTGAATCTGCCAAACCAAGCTCTTGAAGATTTCTTAAGACCAAAAAAAGACTTGTGTATCCTACAAACCATATTCGATGACTCCCTCCTGAGCAACAAACCCAGGTGGTTGTTCAATATATACTTCCTCTTAAAGATCACCATGTAAAAATGAATTTTTGATGTCAAGTTGATGAAGAGGCCAATGTCAAATGGCTGCAATGGCTAGAAGAAGTCTAACAGATGCCATCTTGTCTACAGATGAGAATGTATCACTATAATCTAACCCAAAAATCTGAGTGTATCCTTTGGCTACCAAGCCAGCTTTAAATGGATCAATCTTACCATCTAGACTGACTTTCACTGTATAAAGCCAACGACAGCCTACTAAAGATTTCCCAGGGGGTAGAGGAACCAGTTCCCAGGTATATTGCTTTGAAGAGAACACATTTCATCAATCATTACTTGCCTTCGCTCAGGGTGAGATAATGCTTCACCTAGAGTTTTAGGAATAAAAACAAAAGACAAAGAAGACAAACAAGTATACTTAAAGGGGAAAGATGATTATAGCATAAATCAATATAATGTGGAAAAGGATTTCGTGTTTGACATATACCTTTTTGAAGAGTGGTCGAAAGATCAAATTCAGGATGCAAGACTAGATCTGGTGATGATGAGGGCGTTAGAGGAAAGTCTGTAATGACCTCAGGGACATGTACGACCTCATGGATAGGTACGACAGACATTTGTTGACGATGCTGATATGTTTGAAGTGGGCGAGAAGTGGAGGGTCAACCATAAGGTTATCTAGTGTCCCAGGTTCCCTATAATGATGAGGATAATGACATATGGGACTTCTAGAAGAGGTGTGAGAGTACTCTCCCGAAGGGGTCCCGGAGTTACTTGGCTGGACTCTAAATATGGAACATACTCGAAGAAGGTGACATCGGCCAACTTGAGGTATCATTGTAGAGTATATGAATAGAAACGATAAACTTTTTGGGATCGATGATAACCAATAAAAACACACTTTAGTGATCGAGCTGATAGTTTATCAAGATCAGGAGAGAGATTGTGTATAAAACATGTAGACCCGAAGACTCGGGGAGGAATTGGGTGAAGAGGGAAGGGGGGAAAATATTGAATGATGGATTTTATTGTTAAGGAAATATGATGGCATGCGATTTATAAGGTTACATGTTGTTAACATATGGTCCCCCCAAAATCGATGTGGAACATTACCATGGAGAAGTAGGTCCAAGTAGTTTCTACGAGATGCCTATTTTTGCGTTCGACTACCCTATTTTGTTGAGGTGTATGAGGGCAAGATGTTTGGTGGATAATACCATTACTAGATATAAAAGTTTGAAAATTTTGGGATAAGTATTCACGAGCATTATCACTCTTAAGGTACGAATAAACACACTAAACTGAGTTTTTATTTCTTTATAAAATTTTTCAAAAATAGAAAATAATTTTGATCTATTTTTCATTAAAAATAACCATGTGCAACGTGAAAAATCATCAATAAATTTGACAAAATACCTAGACACACGAGTTGAGATAGTACATGAGGGACCCCAAACATCGGAGTGAACTAAGGAAAAGGGGGATGAAGCTCATTTATTGACTCGGTTGAGAAATTGACTACAAGTGTGTTTCCCTAACTGACACGACTCACAATGTAAATTAGACACCTTCGATAAACTTGGCACCAACTTTTGTAGTTTGGGAAGACTAGGATGACCTAACTGAGCATGGATAGTGAGGGGAGAATCTTTGGTTGAGCATGTTTGAGATGACACTGAGAGGTAATAAAGGCCTTCAAACTCATATCCAATGCCAATCTCCCATCACGAACTCCGATCCTGCAGGGTGACATTAATATCAGTGAAGGTGACAATACAATCAAGAGAACGAGTTAAATGATTGACTGAAAGTAAGTTAAATGGATAATCAGGTACATAGAAAATAGAAGTAACAAAGACAGAAGGTAGAATTTGAACAGTACCAATTCCTTCGGATCAGGTTTTAGAACCATTGGTAAAAGTTATAGTACGAAAGAAACCAGAGGTAGAAAGGGAATAGAAAACATTTTTATTACCAGTAATATGATCAATTTCACTAGAACTAAGGACCCAAGTTCCAAGAGAAGATGATTCAGAGAGACAAACAGATAAATTATCAGTGTGTGCAACTGAAGCAGTAGAATCCGAGTTCCGATAATCCTGATACCACCTGAGGAAATCATTGTAGTTTGGTGTAAATTTCTAAGGAGTAGCCATGAGTATCTGAAGAGAGAAAGTATCACGCAAACTGGATGAAAAAGACTTTATTTGAAATGGATCACAATTTTCCCTGAGTGGAAAATAAAATCATAGGCCGGATCTGGAACAACGACAGGAAGACGAGTGAGCTGGTGGAAAAGTCGTTGGAATATGCTAAATTAGAGGAGACACTTTTTCCAATA